TTGAAAACGAAATGAAGGTCTAAGGTTTCGGAAAATAACATTCATCTAATCTCACAATGTAGTGGATGAGATTGAGTACGTGGCGCATTCTGGGGTAAGTTTTGAGGCCCTTCTTTGTGTGTAGCGGTTAGCCCGCATAAGCGGGATTATATACACATCACATGCGAGCAACTACTTTTTGAGATGAAATCGAGTGCATGGCGCATTCCGAAATCAAGCTTTCTGAAAATATTTTAGCACCATCTTGTAGCGCTTGAAGAGCTGAGTTCAACGGTGTTTTCCGTTTCTGGAATACTTCACTCTGACCCGAGTTATAACGAATTCACGAAATTAACGAGGATTCGCGTTATTCGCGTAAATTTTCGATTTCAAACGGCGAGTACTGTAGTTCGACTAAGATTTTGGCGCCGTACTTCCAACGGTTTCGATCCGAATTTGCTGTTTTCATTTGGTCATCATGCCTATTCGTGGCATACTTCTTCGTGAAGATGCACAAGCTCAGATCAGGGCTCTGCATGGTACTGGACGTTCCAATCCAGAATTCACGCGACAAGTTGATCGTTCTCCTTCATGCATTGAAAGGATCATCTGGTACCCTGATAATTATACTCAGCACAACATCCGCGCCTACCACGATCCTTGACTTTTCAAAACAACAAAAGAGTAGCCTACATCCTGTCGAATTCTTCATTGGGCCGTTCCGAGGCTCAGTGAGTTGTGGCTTTGGCCAACCTAGTTGAAAACGACACAATTAAAAGGCAAGCGCGAGTACGATAAGTGAATTTTTCGCATCGGTGACTTCGGGAGAACCTGCGCCACACGGAGCAATTACTTGGCTGCCAGGGAAGCGATGTGTGGTCCTTCCACGGCGAAAGGTGCTGTGGTTGCTGAGCAGGACCCGTGTGAAGCTCCGCCCCCAGTGACGTAACGCCCACTAGTTTTGTTGATGCATCCTGGATGGTCCTCTGTTTGTTGCTTTGAGCTTTTCCCGGTTCCGGCCAGTAGATCATTTCCCTTCTAGCGGCTGTATCTTCCAACTTGGCCCACGTAGTTGCCTTATTAATCAGAACACTATGCTTGTTAGGCATGATGGCGGCTATCGGGGTTAACACGTCCGAACAACGTCGTTCTTTACCGTCGCTCATCCATGGTCGAAAATGAAAGGGCAATCAAAGGGGTACCATTTTGCTTATTTTTGACGGATTTCTTTGCTTTTTTCGCCATTGGCGTACTATTGAGACCCCCACGTCCCCTCTAAACCCCTTTGAGATCTATCGTAATCGCTTCCTTTAAGCTCCTCATCCTCTTAAACGAATACATCATCGACAGATGTTGATAAAAGCTAATCACTTCAAGGCTCAGCAGTAGTTAGCAAGATGATGGGAGTATAAGCTGGATTGGTGAAAAAAGGCAACATAAGATGAGGACCATGCTGAATAGAATACGGCCTTTGCCACGAGAGAATTTTTTTTGTTAAGACAAGACAATTTTCTGGTGCCCCTTTTTCTCGCGTCAGGCAGTCTTAAACTCTGGGAGAAAGTTCGCATCTTGCATGCGCGTCGGATAAAATTTTGTACTCTGGTAGGGCTAGGGCGCTGAAAGCGTTTCGTCGGAAAGTGCATTAGCGCAAACACGCCGAAGTGATGAACGCAGATGCTTCAAGAAATGTACAGTGCGCATATCGCAAGTAGAGAAAGGCGTGGCGTGTGTCACCTGGACAGTGGACGTAGCACCTTTAGATTAGAAGTTGGCGGTGCGATAAGCTGGCCTGGCAGCATGCTTTGGCTGATATCCAGCGATGTGTGCTTTGGAAAGCCGGCTTATCCCATAACCTTTATCAAGTTGGCACGGCACTTCCGTGAACGCCAGTTACACCCAGAGCTCACGGATCGTCAAGTGGAAATGTTTTCACAATGAAATGATGATCAGGCTGTTGAAATCGCATTCTATCAGTTGCCTTCAATTACACCTCTCAAATACTACTATCAGCTACTACCAAGATCAATATGTAATTGTCAGTTACCGTCGTCACTTGTGGTGTGTTGTCTACACTCGCCATTTAGCTTTGAAGACAGACGGAGTACAACATTCAGT